ATATTTAATTTATAAAAATATATATTTATAGCGATAAATTCAAAACGATACGTGAAAAATTTTGATATCTAATACGTACCGTTTCAGCAGCAAAATCAATATATACATCTTAAACTTGTTTTTAATTTATAAAAATATAATCGTTTTAAATATTAATTTATATTATCATTATTTTAAATTCTGATATTTAAGTTATAAAAATATATATTTATAACGATAAATCCAAAACGATATGCGAAAAATTTTGATATCTGATATGTATCATTTCAGTAGAAAAATCAATACATATACCAATATGATATTAACAACTTTGATTCAAATACATGAAAAACCATATTGGAATGCGTATTGCGTCACCCAGTTAGAAAACAGTCCCTTTTGACCAATGTTTTAAAACCCGAGCCGGAGGTCAAACCGTTTTGACCTTTGGTTCACGATTTGACCGGTTTAATCAGTTTAACCAGTAAAACCACCAGTTCATTAATATAGTATAAATACATTATTTTGCAAAATATTTCACAAGATATCCATTGGGTGCGATGGTAGGTGGTTGTTTTCTCATAGCAAAGATCACAAGTTTGAGTATCCTTATGAACAAACTTTAAATAATTATGGTTTTAAAAATAGACTAAATAAAATTTCAAGCATCCATTGACAAACAAAATACATTGTCCTGGTGGCAAAGGGTTGAAATAAACTAAAAGGACTTCAAGGTTGCAAGTTCAACCTTCATGGGGACAAATTTCTCAAGCTTTTGTTCTCAAGCATTGAACCGTCCGGTCGAATGGTTTTTTGGTTTGAGCGGTTCTAATGGTTCTTATCGGTTTTCAAACGATTTGATCTTCAAACGGTTTAAAAAATAGAACCGAACCATTTATACTACCGGATATTGGTTCAACCGATTCGACCGACCGATCCGGTTCGGTTTTCAAAACCTTGCTTTTGATATCTGTAACATCAAGTTGCAGTATCTCTGATTCTCTGCTCTGCATCCAAGGATTGATCCAACGCTGCAAAGGAATGGAATAAAAATATAAATAAAAATAGGGTAAGCTGTTATATAATTCAAATCATAAAATAAGAATCTTTGCATCGACCCAATATTAAGGATCCCAATCCTTCATTTAAGGATTACTGTTTTATGGTCCGGGCTAAAACAGTTTTTTGACAAAAATAATGAAGTGATGACCAAAGCTTTTCAAACATCTAAAGAGTGGCTACGATGGACAGCATAACCATAAAGGATGGTTAGTTCTGTACCTTGAGTGTGTCCGCCCGAGATCCCCATGAACAAATTCCTTGATATATGTTCCTGCCTGCATTTGAAATATTTCAAATTAGATGAGTACTCCATATGAATACTGTTTAAACCAGCCAAGGACCAATACCAGGGTATAAAATTGAATAATATCCATCAGGATTATAAAATTGAATGCATCCCGTTATGTGGTTTTAGGAGATGATGAAATGTA